TATATGATATTAACATCTTATATTAATATGGCAAAATCTCCTTTCTACTTCTACAAATAAATAAGCTACTGAACAGTTCAAGCAGGTACTGCTAACTTCTGTGAGGACAGATTAATCCATGTAGATGTATATGAGCCAGTTGCGGCGGTGTACACCTGCAATGCCTGCAGTCTCAGCACTCGGGAGGCTGAGGCAGCTGAGGCAGGAGGATCACTGGAGACCAGCCTATGCTACAAAGTGAGCTGAAGGCCAGCCTGAGTTGCACAGTGAGACCAGGTCTCAAAAAAGACAAAAAAAAGTCAAAAGTACTTTTATCTAAAGAGTCTGTTTTATAAAACTTCCAAAATTCTGCAAACAAGACTCTCTTCATTCAGTGAAGCATACAATGTGTTTAAGAGGAGAAAAGAATCATTGCAGGGGGCTGGGGGGATGGCTCAGTGGTCTAAGGCACCTACTTGGAACAAGCTTAGCAAAGCACAAGGACTGCGGTTCAATCCCCCAGCACCACATGCCAGCCAGCCCCGCCCCCTGGTGGGCTGAGCTGCCCCCCCCACATAAATAAATAAAAATTTTTTAAAAAAGAATCATTTCCCAATGGAATGGGGAACAGGACTAGCTCCTGGGGGGGGGGGTCCCAAGCGGGTTGCTCTCTGAAAAATTTCCAGTCCACAAATATAAGAATATTTAACACAATCTCATTTTTATTGAGCAACATCTAGAATGTTATTTTATTAATAAAACAACAGAATTTGAAGCTTTACTACAAAGCTGGGCATGGTGGCACACACATGTAATCCTAGCATGTGTTCCTAGCACTCGAAGCTGAAGCAGGAGGATCCTTGCAAGTTGGAGACTAACCTGGGCTATAAAGTGAGCTCAAGGTCAGTCTGAGCTGCATAGTGAGACCCTGTCTCAAAAAGCCAAAAAACAAACACAGAGTTTAAAAACAATGGATCAATGTGTTTATCAAAGCAAAGTAAAATAGAAGAAAACCAAGCATGTGGATGAACACAATAAAAATAATTTTTTTTTAAATAAATTCTTATTAAAAAAAAAAACCAAAACACAAAAAATTGGCCCAGGCAAATAGCTCAGTAGAATAAGCGCTTGCCTGGCAAGCACAGGGTCCTGAGTTCAATCCCCAGTACCACAAAAAAAAAAAAAAAAACTGAACACTTAAAAGAAATTCAAGGCCAGCCTGGGCTACATAATGAGTTCAAGGCCAGCACAAACAGCAGAGCAAGAACCTGTCTCAAAAAATAAAATTGGGGGCTGGAGAGATGGCTCAGTGGTCTAAAGCACCTACTTAGAACAAGCTTGGCAAAGCACAGGGACCGCGGTTCAATCCCCCAGCACCACATGCCAGCCAGCCGCGCCCCCTGGTGGGCTGAGCTGGCCACACACACACACACACACACACACACACACACAATAAATGTTAAAAAAAATAAAAAATAAAATAAAATAAAATTGGGCTGGAGAGATGGCTCAGCAGTCTAAGTGCCTTCCTGGCAAGCAAAGTCCCAGTTCAACCCCTGGTACCACACGCAATGCTGCGCCAGGCCCAAACCAGCATGGTGGTGCATGCCTGTAATCCCAGCACTGGGGAGGTTGGGACAGGAGGATCACTAGGAGTCCAAGCTGCATAGTGAGACCCTGTACCAAAGAAATTTTTTAAAAATCCAACATAACTGGTCCCTCCCCGCCTTCTTTCTTTCTTTCTTTTTTTTTTTTCTTTTCTTTTTTTTTTTTTTTTGCGGAACCGGGGATTGAACTCAGGTCCTTACACTTGCTAGGGAAGCACTTACTCTACTGAGCCATCTCCCCAGCCCCTTCCCCGCCTTCTTTCTAAGGCAGGGTCTCACTACGTACTTAGCCCTGGCTGGCCCACGTGACCCTCCTGCCTTGACCTCCCCAGTGCTGGGATTGCATGCATGCACCACCACACCCGGCTGGCTGTATTTTTTTATATAACAGAAGTCTCAGAAAATTTCTGCAGCCTTTCAGATCACAAAGATCTCCAGTCTTAACAGCTGGAGGCACAAGACAAGGGTGACAGCCTCAAAGAAAGCCCCTTGGTGTCTGGGTCCATAGCACATTGCACAACAAGAGGGAGAATCCCAGTAAAAATGCTGCCTACTCACTGCTCCCACCCAGGAGGCCCGCTGGCGCTCAGGCATCATCCCTGTGTCCCGCCGGCCCTCTGCCCAGTCTGAAGTGATTCTATCCACAGGACATGCTCCGTTATGTTTTCATTCTCTAAACACCTGCGCCCTATTCATCTGGGATCGATCCCCTACTTGCATTTTCTGGGACTTCCTCTCCCCTTGCATGGTCTACTCACACCCTCCTCCACTTCTTCCCTCTGAGGGTACAGCTCCAAAACTAAAGGACATCATGTACTGGGATAAAGGACAGTATGTAATGTCAAAGCCACCAGGAAAGGCAGTCTTTTAAGGGCACCAACTATGAGCCTGTGTACCTCGTAAATCTGATCTAGCCCTGCCGCCAGCCTCACAAGGTATTAAGATCATAAGTTTCCAGAAAACAGACTCAGGTGAAGGAAGCAGCTTAAGGACCTGGGTGCCCAGCTCTGCCAGTGTCTGAGACTGAGGGGCTCCTTCAGGCTTCCAGTTTTTACATCCACTAGACAGTCTTAGGCAAAGGTGACTGCTCTCCCGAGGACACACAGAAGTCTTAGTCCATTTCCTCTTGCTAGAAAGGTCTGAGTAATTACACACAGAAGCCTACCTAGCTCACAGCTTGGAAGCTGGGAAGTACAAGAGCACCTGATGGCCCCTTTTGCTACAATAACATGGAGGGAATCCCATGTGAATCCCACAGAGCAAGCTGGCTTTTGAAACAAAGCTACTCAGTGACAGCCCATTAATCTATAAAAGGACTAACTCATGAACCGATTACTGGATTAACCTATCAATATCATTAATGGATTAACCCATCCAGAGAGGAAAGGCCCCAAAGACCCAATCACTGCTGGGATACAGCTCAGCGGCACAGTGCCTGCCTGGCAAATACAGGGTCCTGATTCCAGGTACAAAAAGACCTAATCGCTTCCCCAAAATCCAACCTCATTAACATATGGGTTTGGGGATTAAATTTCCAAATCAGGATTTTGGGTTACTTGGCAGCTCCCTTCACACATGGCTTGGGTGGTGACACACACCCGTGATTTCCAGCACTCTTTGGAAGGCTGAGGCAGAAAGACTGCTGAGTAGTGGACAGCCCAGGATACCAAGTAAGTTCAAGGACAGCCTGGAATACACAGAAGGACCCTGTCTCAACACCCCCACCCCCACCCCAAAGCTCACGTGTGAGCTCCAAAGCCCTTGAACTTTCTCCTGGAATTCCTCCCTCTCCCAGCCTAAACTCCCACTTCAGAAGCCTAATTACTCGACCCCACAGGTTTCCAGGCCTAAGCTAATTTTGGTGAAAAGTGTTCAGTTTTTCTTATTCTACCTCTTCTCATGCAAAGTACTGCATGCTACTCTTTCCTGACTCTGTGCACCCAAAGGACCAGTACTTGCAGCTGTAAATTTAAAAGGCAGAAGAGCCACAGATGGCTTGATTACTTTTACCTCTGCCTATTTCTCATTTAACATAACAATGAAGGTCCGTTGTGGGTGGGATTAAGGCGCTAAGAGGGAACTGCTCTTGCCTCTGAATATAAAGTTAGGATGATCAAAGCCTGATCAGTCAGGTAAGGATGGCGGGTGCCGGGTGGTGGTGGTGTGCGCCTATAATTCCAGCACTCGGGAGGCTGGGGGTGGGAGGAATCCTTGTGCGTGGCAGACCAGCCTGGGCTACAAAGTGAGCTTAAGGCCAGCCTGAGCTGCATAGCCAGACCCTGTCTTGAAAAGACAAAAAATAAAAAAGGATGGCAGGGGTGTTCTGGGCTGTGGGTTCTACAGGGTGATAATAGGTGGTGTTTAGTAAGGAGAACTGTAACAGTGTCTGAGTTTTATATCCTTAGGAGACCTCACCCCTAATACTGATCCTTTCTCAGGGTCCGCATTCTAAGACACAAGAGCCCCAGTTTTGGCGCCCTCAGGCCTTCTACCTTCTCTACTGCCACTGCAATTCCTGCTTCCCAGTGCCAGATGACCTAAAGGGAAGGAAGAACTGGACTTCAGAAGGACCTGAAGTAGCACAAAGAGACATGAACTACTGAGTCTAAGGTCATCCTGAACTCAGAGAGAGACCCTGTATCAAAAAAAAGTAAAAAGACAGACAAGGTTTTGGCAGTCCAAGTAGTAAGTTCCACACGCATATAGAATGTTCGTGGGAAAGGGCCCAGGAGACAGCTCAGCGGCATAAGCGCCTGCCTGGCAAGCGCAAGGCCCTGCGTTCCCACCCCCGGTACCTAAATAATGATGATGATGATAATGATGATGATGATGATGATGATGATGATGATGATGATGATGATGATGATGATGTTTGTGGAAAATAAACAAATCAGTGTCATACAAAAACTACTGCGAGGCAAACATGCACTGAAGAACCCAAGTACTTCCTCAAAGGTACAGGCATCCACAATACTGGCATAGTGCTCAAATGAGTCTTTACTAAATGACAGATACTATGAATTTTTCTGTTTTTGAGAAATTCCGTGTTCTCTTTCCCTGAGACACCCCCTGCGTTCCCGACAGGAGTGCTCTCCACCATCTGGGTATCTACCATTCAGAATCTGTGCTGCTGACACCAAGCACCAAGGCGTATCCTCGCACGCTAAGTAGGGCAAACGCTGCCGGGAAGCCTGCGGCCAAGCTCCCGTTCGGCTGACAAGCCTCACCTTGATGCGCTCCCCGTCGATCTCCACCGCTCGTTCTCGGAAATCCACCCCGATGGTGGCCTCGGTGCGGTCGGGGAAGCGGCCGGCGCAGAAGCGGTAGGTCAGACACGTCTTGCCCACATTGGAGTCGCCGATCACGATGATCTTGAAGATGCGGGAGCGGGCGGGAGGCAGACACCCCGCAGTGCCCGGCACCACGCAGCTGTTGGAGAAGCTGGCCTCCAGAGAGGACTCCATCTCCGAAGCCATCCTCCCCTCCTGCCCCGAGCCGGGACAGAGCAGACGCTACGAGGCGGGGTAGTGACGCCACTGCGAGCGCCGGGCTCCGCCGAGCGGCTGGTGTCGCGGGACCCGCCGGCCGGCCGCGCGTGCGCACCGCCCTCCCGCCCCTCCTGCGCGCGCACACACTTCCGCCACGTCCCGGCGCCCGCCCTCGGGGACGGGTGTGTGACAGCGAGCAGGAAGGAGCCGCCGCCGAGCCGCGGTGGACCGCGCGCGCAGCCCAGGGTGCAGGGTACAGGGCGCGCGGGCCCGGGCCCGGAAGGTGGGACAGGTTACCTGCGAGCCGCCCCTGGGGCACTGCACCTGGCCTTCCTGATGAAAATAAATCCCACTGTTCCCTGAGTTATGGTTTCTACCCAGCGAAAGCCAGAGTGGCAGCCCCCCCACCGCCGCCCGGGCTGTGACGACCCAGACTGCCTCCGGATAGCACCTCGGGCAGGAATCCTGCACCTGGGGCCGCTGGCTGCCAAGGCCTCTTATAATTGGAGTTCATTTTCCGGGTGATAAGAATCACCTCTCTTAAACACAAATTTTTAATCCTGCACTGGTCTGGTTGGTCTCCTCCATCGGATTGCCATTTTATTTTATTTTTGGCAGAACCGGGGATTGAACTCAGACCCTTGCTCTTGCCAGGGAAGCACTTATTCCACTGAGCCATCTCCCCGGCCCATGGATTGCCATTTTAATGTTTAATAATCTTAAGTATCATAGAACGGCTTTTTGGGGGTAGTGGGGATGACCAGCTCAGCCCGCCCAGGGAGCGTGGCTGGCGCAGCATGTGGTGCCTGGGGTCTAACCTCGGTGCCTGCACTTGCCTAAGCTTGCTTAAGCAGGTGCTTTAGACAGCTGAGCTATCTCACCGGCTTTTTTTTTTTTTTTTTTTTTTTTTCTGTCTTTCAGAGACAGGGTCTTGTTATGCAGTTCGGGCTGGGACCTTGAGTTTACTTTGTAGCCCAGGCTGGTGTTCAGAGTTCAAAGGGATCCTCCTGCCTCAGCATGTGCTGAGATTACAGACGTGAGTCACCACGCCTGGCTTTTTTTTCTTTTCAACTTTTCTTTTTAAATGTATTTGATACAGAATCACACTATGCACGCAGCTGGGTCCCCCTCAGACTCCTGTCTTCAGCCTCCCCAGCACTGGGAGTACAGGCATGCACCACCGGGCCCAATCTTTTTTAAACTATTTGAGACCAGTTTTCACTGTGCAGTTCAGCCTGGCCTCCAGCTCACACTGATCCTCCTGCCGAGGCCTCCCGAGTGTTAGGATCACAGGTACACACCACCAGGCTACCATGCTTGAGGTCTGATTTTTGAGTCGAGGTCTCACACAATTGCCCAGGCTAGTCTTGGCAAGCCTCAGACTCCCAAGTGGGAAGGATCACAGGCATGCACCACCTTGCCCAGTGTAAAACTTTTAACTTACAGATAAAAGACACCTCAATTTCAAGTTATATTTTTGGGGGCTGGGGAGATGGCTCAGAAGAATAAGCACTTTCCTGGCAATCTCAAGGGTCTGAGTTCAAACCCCGATTCCGAAAAAAAAAAAAAAAATCAAATTATATTTTTCTTTTGTTTTTATGTGTGTGTGTGTTTGGTAATTGTTTTTTAGTTGAGTATTTTTGTTTTTGGTGCTGAGGACCAAACTCAGGGCTTCCAGTTTGAAGTTACATGTTGGGACCAGGGAGATAGTTCAGTGGAATAAGTGCTTGCCTGGCAAGCGCAAGGTCCTGAGTTCAATCCAGGTACCACCAAAAAACAAAAAAATGAAGCTACGTGTTTCTAATAGCAGGACCCATTCTTAATGTTAGGCTGCCCACTCAACAGAGCTGATTTTCTACCCTGTGTTAATCTTGTTTATCTTAGAGGGCAGGAGGCCTGTAGGCCAGAAGTCCCTCTTCAGGTGGCCCAGCCCAAGCCGCCTTGGTCTAAGGCAGCTGCCTGTGTTGCCAGGCTGCCTGTAATCTCATCTTCCTCCACCAGCATTTTCAGCAGCACACAGCTCAGCACCAGACACTGCACAACTGCCATGTCAACTGGAAAGAACCCTGAAAAGCAGCAGGAAGAGGTGGGGCTGAGTTACTGTTAGGAGGAGTGGTGGTCACTGGGGGTTGACCTAAAAGGCCTGGCAGTGTCCTCCTCCTCAGCCCCCTTCTCACTGCACTTCTGGGTGCCATGATGCAGGGAGACTTCCACTGCCCAGCCCTTCCCCCAGGCCTTTTCTGTTTGGGCCTGCCGAACTTGGGCTGAAACTACTAAAATGCCGCCAAAACAAATCTCTCCTCCGTAAATTGTGAGGGTCAGATGTGCGTCCCAGCAAAGAGAAAAGTGATTGTGACAATCTATAACCTCAAGACCATCAGTGGGTTAAGAAATGGGCAACTGAGGCCAGGGAGATAGCTCAGTAGAATAAGCACTTGCCTGGCAAGTGCAGGGTCCTGATTTCAAACCTCAGTACGGAAGGAAGGGAGGGAGGGAGGGAGGGAGGGGCAAGTCACTTGTTTTTTGCTGTGCTGCTTTTTGTTCATTTGTTGGCAGGTTTTCAGACTAAACCCAGGACCTTCCTTGTACATGAGAGGTGCAAGGTAAATCAGATAATTTATCACTGAGCTATTGCCCCAGTCCCTAGCCGGTTGTGTTTGTTTTTTTGATTTTAGTTTCTTGAAACAGGATCTTGTTATGTCTGGCCTTAAAGTCACTATGTAACCCATGATGGCCTTGAATTCTCAGTGATCCTCTCGCCTCAGCCTCCTGAGTGCTGGAATTACAGGCGTGTGCCCCTATGCTCAGCTCAGGTGCTTTAATAGTTACCGATGCCCAATAAAGGAAAATTAACCAAAGATTTGACAGAGGCTACTACAAAGTGGCCGGAAAAAAAAAAAAAATCTTAACTATGAAGTGGCTGTGAGCAGGACTGATATTACCCAATTGACTTTTCATGTTTACTTGTGAGTTTGCCCAAGGCCCAGGGCAACTAACTCATAGTAAGAGCAGGGACTGCGGGAGTCCCTGGTCCCTCTGAGGCCTGTCATGGTGGATGAAGCCATGAGACCTCAAAGGACAAGACAATGCTCTCACAGATAAGGTCACCAGGCTCCAACCTCAGTCAGATAGACTGTAGCTGCAGGGATGCCTCTGGTGAAGGCCTTCCTGGGGATAACATAGTTCTCCTAAATTAATATAATGTATTACTTGGAGAAGCCCTAGAGTGGACTTCCTAGGCCCTTAAGGGCCCTGCCATTCAGGACAGAGTCCCGCCTTTCTTCACTATTCCCTACCTTAGTCCTGATAACTAAAAACAAAAAAATACAAGCCACTCAGAGAAGATCTTTGTCTTAACCCAGAGGATTTCAATTTTGTGAGAGGGCTTTGATCCCCTGGAGTCCTGAAATTGTACTGTTGCAGGCAGCGAGTTAGATAGAAATATTACAGGCAGGCAGACAGGGTCAGACCCTTGAAGGAGATAACAAAGACCAGACACCTTACAACTATGGGAGGGACAGATGCTCCTGCTGTGAGCCAGACCTAAAGAGCAAACAAATGCTGACCTCCCTAAAGGTTGGCATCCAGGATTTCTCATTACACAGGAAGAATCACTGTCTAATGAACACCAGAGAAGGTCCTGTTTTACATTCATACCCACTTGCTACGTGACCCGTTGCCCCATTTAGTCCTGGGCCTAATCAATTTTACCTGAGCAATGGTGCTTGTAATCCCATTGGTTGACCATACTTTTGTCCCACTTCACATCCACCTAAGCGAGTTCCCATTTTCTGCACTATAAAAGTCCCTGGAAGAGACAGCTTCCCGGGAAACAACCTGTTCAGGCCACCTCCTGTCCCTCTCTTAACAGGAGCTTTCTTTCCCTCAATAAATATATTCTGCTCATAACCTCCGTTTGTTCCTAAAATTCATTCTTTGGTTTTAGAGAACATGAACTCGTGCAGGTCAGGTCGGGAGATCATTTTCCCTATGTCATTTGGAGGTTCCCTGCATTATTTAGAGGTCACCCACCTGAGACCAGTTTTTCTCCCTGTATCAATATTATCGAACTCATGTCAGTAACACCAATAACGTCAGACATGGTGTGCAACTATCAAGACAATTTTTTTTTTTTTTTTTAGTGGAACCGGGGATTGAACTCAGGCCCTTGTGTTTGCCAGGCAAGTGCTTATTCCACTGAGCCATCTCCCCGGCCCCTCAAGACAATGTATGCTAGACAACGTTTTCATCTGAGATGATCTTGTCCTATGGAAAGTCCTGTTCTAATGTTTAGACCACACGCTGGAGCACAGCTCGGCACACTGTCATGGTGAGACCTGCTTCACGTGTCGCTAGGGCCTTCAGGCAGCACCAAGGACATTCACATGCTCTGCAATTGCGATCCCTCTGATCTTCACCCTCTTCTCAAGGCAGGGGCACGCCTTCCTGCCAGCTTTCTGCTCCCTACTAGTAGATGTTATGCTCTCTTACTGAGCAGCTATTATTTATGAGGCAGATACTTTCCTTTGAAGAGCTTACCATAGTTGGCATGCCCATGTTCCACTGGGGAAAGATGATGTATAACAAAGTGGCTTTTCTTTTTTGTCTTTTTGAGACTGGGTCTCCCTATGCAGTTCAGGCTGGTCCTCAGGTCACTTTGTAGCTCAGGCTGGCCTGGAACTTGCATGGATCCTCCTGCCTCAGCCTCCCAAGTGGCAGGATTACAGGTATGTAGCACTACACCCAGACTTTTTTTTTTTTTTGTCTTTCAAAGGTATGTTTGTTTGTTTGATTGATTGATTGATTTTTGGTAGTACCAGGGATTGAACTCAGGACCAAGCACTTAGTCCACTGAGCTATCTCCCCAGCCCCTTAAAGGTATGATTCAAACAAACTAGCCAGTTGGTCCTCTATTCTTTCTTCTTCCTCTTCCTCTTCCTCCCCTCCCCCTCCCCCTCTTCTTCTTCTCCTTCTTCTTCTTCTTCTTCTTCTTCTTCTTCTTCTTCTTCTTCTTCTTCTTCTTCTTCTTCTTCTTCTT